ATATCAGAGCTGGCGTTAAGACATCAATTGCATGACGACGATGTGTATGCTGGATGCACTGCTGCACCGCCCCCAAGAGGTCGCTTAAAACACAATCACACAAATCACACAGGAATCATTATGCGCCCTATGTTCAACCGTCCATCGAGTGCAACCCCATCAGTTCGTCGCTTTTCCTTCTGGAATGTTTCATTTCCATCCCACTTTTTCCGTCAAAGCAAGGCCATTCTCCTTCTCCCTCTGTCTCTGTCCCGCGTCTTTCCACCTTTGCCTTGTTCGTGCCTGCATTCGAATCCATGAATCGCTCCACGGCGGGGGGCCCTATATCGCTGATCTTATACGGTAGCGAAAGTCTGTCACCGGACAAAACCGTCCACCCACGGGGTCGGAATGGGACGAACAGGACCACCGGACGAAACATCATTTGTTGATGATCTCTTTCAAGACTTCAAAGAGGTTTAAAAAGGGAAACGTTTGAATGAACTGGCCCCGACGGGATGAAAATGCATATAGGGACCCTCTCTTCCCAGGTCCCGATACAACGTCGATTCCCGAAAAGCAGTGCAGGCCGTGATTAGCCTTCTTAAAGTCTTAATGCAAGGCACCTGCTTATGTCCTCAAAGTCGCGATGGACCTGCGTTCGACAGGCTTTCCCGGCCTTTCTCGCACATCCTCATCCATGGACGGAACACAGACAGTGATCATCCCAAGTTGGTCTTCATCTTTCCAGGGTCCATCTATGCTTGAGTCGAGCTCGCTCGAGGCCTAGACCCTGCCCCGCGAAACAAATTTGGGAAACATCTGACGATACGAAACAAAAAGAGCCTTTTGCCCAAAGTGTCTGTGAGTTTCGCGATATCCAGACAATTAAAACAACGTCAGTGACACCCGTCATCCGATTCACACAGAAAAAGATGGGGACCGCGCACGACTCGAGCCTCTTCGCCATGGGTCTGGCCTCGGCCGAAGACGACTCGCCTCTCTCCCTGGTCCAATATTTTCCCATTTGGCGTTAATTGCCAACTGCTTTTCACGGTTCTCTGCTCTCGCTGAATCGTCCCCTCCAGCGGGCCCAGAAAAACTGCAGGCCTGGACATATTCCCATGCCAAAAAGTCCCAAGCCGAACAGCCGGGCTGGAGCTTGTTCAACGCCGTGCACGCGAGGTTCGCCATCTCGAGCTTCACACTCTCTCCACTGGGCTAAACCCTAGAGAATACGGACCCGTACGTGATCCATGCGCCGTCGCTGCCGGCACATAGAGAGAGCAAGACACGCGAGGTCTATTTGGGCTTCAGTGTTTCACATCTACGCTTTAAACTGCGTGTTGTTTATGAGATATTGTGAAAAGTAGGTCTAGAGCCTCAGCTCCAATCTAAACTAGCTTCGCCGTTGCCATGTCTCCCAACCCCATATATCGGCCCCCCCTGTTTGGTTCGCCCCTCGAGCTAAGGTGGAAGAAGGAACGAAACAATCTGGAAGTATGAAACCTGCCGAGAAAGCTTGACCGCTTCCTCAGAAAAAGGCCCCCAACTGCGAAATGCAAAAAAAAGACTACTACGTCGTCGTCGTCGTCACCGAGAGCATGGGGCTCGGCGGTGTACGCAATATACAGAACACACAAAGAGACTTTCAACGCGGGCACACCGCAGGTTCGGCTCGTCCCAGAGCCGATTTTGCAGCGACGGGGTGCTTCCGCGAGCAATCAACTGGGTACTCGAAACACGACCGACGGGAACTCCGAGGACGAGAGGGAGAAAGGACAGGATTCGCCTGGTTTTGAGGTGGCAGGATCCAGATTGAAACCCCTCCCGGGCTCGAGGGAAGCAAACATTCCCTCTCCATCGAGCATCATCACCGCGCGACGCGATGGGGAAGGTCATCCTTCATGTCGCGACAGGGACCGGATCAAGTCGTCATCCATATATTCCTTTCTTTTTCCCCCGTCCAACTTCTGACGCCGAAGCCAGCTGTGCCTCTCTCGGAAAGAAGAGTATCAAGGGAATTCACCGGAATGGCAGCACAAGCACGCCCCTCGACGCGGGCCTCGAGAAGTGTCGTTGACAAAAAGTACTGTCGGCCATGTTTGGTCGGTCTCCCGCGAGGCTCCGACGACCTGTCATGTTTGAGATCTCGCCAATCCGTATGACAGGGAACAAAGAAAGAGGGTTTGATCGTCACAATCCACGAGGGCTGAAAAGCGGTGTTCGGGGTTTGTTTGGGGCTGAATGGGTGCAAGGTCACACCCGTCTCTGTCTCAGGCGAAGCAAGGTTCTTCCGCTGCCAGCTGCCACAACTGAGAGAAGAGCTCAAGGCGAGCAAGCAAGCAACACGTAGGTAAAAAGGACCTCGCATCGTCGTCGTACAATAAATCTTGTCTGTGCCATGCGGTCGCTCAATCCAGGCAGAGCGAAGATGGCCGAGTCAGGGCCTGCTCCCAATTGAGTCTCTTTCCGCTGTCAAAAAGGGCAAACTGATTCGGATTGGGGCAATTGGGCAATTGCTCCGTGCTTCGTCGTCTTTGCAAAACTGCCAATTCAAGATCCAGTCAAGTCTTGCCGCAATCTTTCAATCTGCAGGACCTGTTCATTTGCATCTGTATGCATCAAGATTAAGATGAAGAAAACAAATGCTCATGTTCATCGTGCCCACGGGTGTGGCTTGTAACATGCAGCGGAGGCCCGTAAACCACACCAAAGAAGAGCCTAAGAGAGCCCTTCCCGCTCCCTCCCTCGACAAGCCGCATCTTCTTGCCTTGCCCTCTTCGTCCAGCACTCGACACGCGAGTGGTCCAAATTCGCTGTGGGCACGTTTTGTGTGCTGTGGCCTCCAACCCCTGTTTCCCTGCTGCTGCTGCTGCACGGGGGAAGAGAGGACCGCGCCTTGGACCAAGGTAATTCGCGGCAAAGCGGTTAAACGACATGCCTTTCACCACGAAAGTCGCGGTGAGAGACGTCGTACAAATATGCGTCCAGACAAACATATACGACCACTTTCTGCCGTGTCCCACGAATCGCATCTGTGTTTCAGAGAAAAAAATTCAATTCCAGCCCAAACTCCGTCGTCCGTTAAAGCTTGGTTTTATGTACGTACAAAGACGGGTGACGCGTGGTTGTGCAGCGACGAGATCGAGCCAGGCTTACTGCGGTATCAGGCCAAAGTTTTAGCCCTTGTACAGGTAGCTGTGGCTCAAGCAGACCAGGGGCGGTACATCGATCGCAGGCGAAAGACCGGCCACTCAGCAGTTATTCCAGAGCTTCCCGTGGGACCGTCAGTCCCCACGATACGTGGCTTGGGCTAATACTTACCCATAACACCATAGTACACAAGCACATGTCACGAGATGGGAGACGCAAAGAGGAGCAGTACCAAATAACCAAAAAACCAAGTTTAAAAGAGCCAATCTCGACTTCATCTCTGCCGAGTCCCCGCCCTCGGCGTCCTCCGGAATGTTACACCAAAATGGGGCTGCTCCTCTCCCCAGATGGACTGCGACTTCAATATCTCCGTCGAGTGCTACGCTGTGCCGCGCCCGTGTTTCTATTTCTATTTCAGAAGTTCTGCCTTTCCCGTCCCGTGGGGTCGCGTCGCGCTCGCTAGATTTTTGGAGTAATACTGCTACTCTACGAACAAGCTGGGTTGGCTAAACCAGAAAAGCCCCGGAAACCGTGTTCCTGGGAAACACCTGAACGAGATTTGAGCCGCTCCGGCGAGCGTGCTGGATCATCTCATTTCGTGGCTACCGGAAATATGGACTCCCAGATTTGGTCCCAACTCCACGGGGCAGAAGAACAAGACGGAAGGAAAAGGCGGGAAGACCTATTTGTTTCCCCACCACCAGCAGCTCGCTTCCACCTTTTCGAGGCTCATGGAAGCATTCTTCTCCGGTTCGCTGGGTTACGGGGACTTTCTACGGCGGGAGATTCCCACGCCTGCCAAATCTCGCTCCGGAGAGTGAGTAGTGCGTGGGGAGCAGTCGAGCCGAGGTTTTCAGCTTCTTCTTTCGAATGTGTTGTGTGTTTCGTTGCTCAGTTGGCGACCGATCTCGTGGGCTCTTCTAATTGCTTCGTGGGCTGGAACCCATTCCTCCCTCGCTACCCTGCTCTGATCCCAATTTAGAGGCCGGCAGACCAGGAGACGTAATTCTGGGTTATCGTCCGAGCCGACGTCATGGTATCCCCGCATGGTGTTGATCCCGGTTGCCATAGCGGCTTCTGTCTTTCAGGTTGAAAGCAGCTGTTGGTGTGTCTCGGACAGCAGCCAACGAGATACGGGGGCAGAGGAAGTCTCGGGTACGGGGTCGGCGACCAGAAAGCATTCCGAGAAGCGGAGTGCCTCTTCCAAGACAATCATGCAGTCCGACATTCCCCCTCTCGGGCACGCTGTGGCCGGCCCGAATCGCTGTCGAGAACTGCCATCGCATGACATCTCGCCGTCATCGAACGGTCCGAACCCTCCCGTTTCGAATGAAGAATGGCATGTTCGTACTGTTGCACGGCAGATGGCATTTCATCACGGCATTTCGATCAGTCTTTGAAGTATGTTGTCTTATATAATGACTCCCAAGCTCAATCCTAATCGCACGCTACCCCTCAAAACTCAAGTCCCGCTGCCGTCTGCCCCTTGATGTTCGCACGCCAACAAGCATATTAACCTTACATAAGCCCGGATTCTTTCTTTAGCCAATCGCCAGCCAAGTCGTGACTACAACCAACTTGACCAACTTCCAAGGCATGCACATCGCCGCAAAGGGAGATGGCCAAGCCTAGACCCGGGGCTCGCAACTTCGTTCCAACATCGTTCCAACAGTTGAGGCTTTTGTGAGTGCGGCAAAGCTGCTGATAGGCACTCTGCTTTACCGGAAAGAGTTTACCGGCAAGAAGCACACCTCCTTCTTCCGAGCAAGGAGACGTTGCAGGACAGCAGCCGCCATCTGAGGCCCTAGATGAAGCGGTCGGTTGGTTGTAGGGGCGGCTCGCAGGAGACATGCCGCAACCGAAGCTCACGGTTCAACTGAGTCGACGGGGTCGTGGTACTCATACACCTTGTTTTGCTTGTCACGGCCCGTCACCGCGGGTGCCACATACGTCGACACACCTGTACTACGATCGTACGATTTGAACGTGCTTGCCAACCGCTTGCCACCTCCCCCAGGAAGGTCCACCACGAACTGTGGCATCATGAAGCCCGCAATCGAACCCCTGATACTGGCTTCCAGATCCAGAATGGTCTGCAGCGGCGTACGCAGGTGCTCCGACTTCCTCACCATGTCGTGTTGGTAGACGTAGTACTGGATAGAGTCAGCGAGGTCTTTAAGCCAATGGGTTACATTGCTCACCGGGAATATGTTGTTGTCCGCGAGTCTTCTGATCAGACTGGACATGGTGGCAACGTCGTCGTTGATTCCACGAAGTAGGACCGACTGGTTTCGCACCATCACCCCTGCCTCGAAAAGCCTCTGGCTGGCCCTCTCGGTGATCCAGGAAATCTCGCTGGGGTGGTTGATGTGGGTGTGGAGTGCCACAGCTTTACCGACTCTACGAGCTTTGTCCGAGATCGAGATTACGGCATCGGTCCATGGGTCATTCGGGTCCAGAATGCGCGTCGGACAAACAGCAAGACCCTTAGAAGCGAACCTGAACCGACGGACATGGTCTATTGAAATAAGACGATTACCAATCATCTTGATTTGTTCAGGCATGAGTTGATACGAATCTCCCCCGGAGACGACAATATCTTGGATCTCTGGTGTGCGCTCGATGTGTTGGAAGACGGCCTCCCATCGTGCACGCCCAGGCTTGAGGGAGGCTTTCGCCACACTCTCCGTATTGGCACCGACCGCGTAGGAGCGAGTGCAGAATACGCAATAGGTTGGACACACAGAGAGAGCTTCGGCATGCGGTCAGTCACGCTGCAGACCCGGGAGGTGTATCTCATGCACTCACGGAGGAACAGAGCCTTGTCGGGATACCGGTGAACCAAGCCATTGACGGGGGAGTCGGCTTCCTCTTCCAACGAATCAAGCGTCAACTTTGGGTGATCTGGCTGCATTATGGACTTCGTGGGTATGAATTGGCGGAAAATGGGATCGTTTCGCGGGTTGCTCCAGTCGATGCGACTGAGGGTGTATGGCCTAAGAGACTAGTTCAGTCTGGATTCCAGGGATTCTGGTGAGTAGCTTACATCACTCTAACAGACATGGTCGCTTCAGAAACGCCTTCAAAGATATCCGCCATCAGCTTTTCTCGAGGTTCCATGACACCATTTTGACCACGAGCGGGAATTTGCTCTGGCAAAACCCTGTCAAGGAATCGGTGCAGCTTGTTTGGCCCTTCGACCAGATTCTTCATCTATGGCAGTTTGTCAGCTATTTCCATCGGTCCAGTTGCGGCAGTACAAGACCTACGCTCCATCGGTAGCTGATAAACTCGGCTGTCGAGACATCCTCCCACCCTGGCACTTTGCGCCAGAACTGGTCAACCTGCTCCGGAAGTGGTCTCGCAAATGGTGTGACTGGGTCAAGTAACGGGGGATCTTCCACAATCCTCTCGGCAAACGCAGAATGGGCAGCTCGGACACGAGATGAAGTCCCGACCCTGCGGGAACCATGTATGTGACAGCCACGAGTTGGGCGAGTCACATAAACTTGGAGGTTACCTACGAACCTCATTTTGATACCAGCCTGCATTGGCTGCAGAAAATAATCAGGATATCAGGCTAGATTGGCTCGGAACTAATAAAATGGAGACATCTGGCGATCAGTTCTGCAGTTGTGCGGTTTGGAGTGGTAGCGGTAGTATTTCGACATCAGCTGGAGTCACCTGCGATATGGCTTGGGCGCGCTTCGAGCTAAGCGCGCAAAGTGCGAGCTGGGAACCAAAAGACAGAGATGCTGAAGGTGGAAAGGTGACACAAGATGAAAGAGGTTGAGGGAAGATATGGCCAGTCTGGGTGAGGCACGCCAAAAGAAGGACGGCATTCATGAGGGATGCTCTTAGAGCTATCGCCGTATTTGATATTCCTCCAGCACGACTGGCCACATGACGAGCTTTCCCAAAGTTCCTCCCAATCACGACGGAAGCTGCGGTGTAGAAAGAGATCAACAACAAGCAAGGGAAAGCAAACACGGGGTCGGGGGACCAAACATGCGCTTCCAGGGTCATTCCTTCAGCAGCCCGACTTGGACAACCAACTCGACGGGTAAGCCCTGCCCAACCTACCTAGCCCCGCCTCACTCATCCACGCTCTACGCCCTTGTCACTTCTACATGTGAATAAGTAACACAAAGGTACGGTACCCACCAACAACTCTAAGTAGGCACTTCCTAAGATTTGGTTCGTGGCTGTCGTACAGATCTTGCATGCGCATCCTTCCTCGAGTTGGGCTTGTCAACGTCTGCCTTCGTTTGAATCCTATCGAGCCACGTACATACCCAAGCAAGCCGCTCATTTGGCCAAAAAATCTCAGGGCAGTTGGAACGAAGGCCAAGCAGAAGCAAGGGCATGGAACCTGGGCAGACGACGGGCATCTTGTCCCAATTCGCCACGTCTTGCACAAGCAGCATGCCTACTACCTTGCCATCACGCCTACACACTTTCTTCTTCTTCTAGCACCCAATTGAGAACCGTTTGCATATATCCCGGTTCCATAAAAAGCCCGCACCATCAAACGACGTCGTCTCATTAGCTACCAGGCGTCCGGTCGACGCCCACTAGTTCCCCACCTCCCTTGACAGCATCCCCATTCCCACAACACCTCACCGTCCCTAACCGCGACCAGGATGCTGTTGCGGCAAGCATTTCCAAGACATTGGAAGACGACTGAACCAACTCACCGAGTCGATAGACGCGGGCCGCAACGAGTTATTTCGTCAAACACAAGTCTTTATTCATCCGCTCGAATGGTGAATGCAGAGATATTCAGCCGCATCATCCCAACAAGGACATTCAACCGAACTCTGAAGCAACGCTGGCTCTCGGTTGCTATATTCAGTTACAACAAACAATCGGCTTCGCCAGATGAGGGGCTCGTCTAAGTTGGTTGCTTCTCGTGTGGCCGATTTGCCTAGGCCCCCGCGGCAATGGGCTTTGCAATCCCCCCTTGGCGCGGTGCCCTCCGCGCCTCCGAACAAGATGGGTCTCCACCATCAACCTGTGATTTCTATCACATAGACAACAGGCCGATTTGAAGACTTTGGTTTATCATCAACTTCCTTCGAGAACTGAATATGATAACTTGGCTTTTCTGACCACCATTGACCAAAGTCCCAGCTTGAGATCCACAGCCAAAGTCCCAACTCCTAATCATTGACGGAAGCTCCGGACGCTGGTTTTGAACCAAAGTTCTCTGTCGAGATATCACTTCTGCGAGACTGTGGCAAGGCTTCTTGAGTATAACTCGACGATGGCCGTAGGTGTACACACACCGACTCAGCTCACTCTACATGCCGTGTCTCAGCGTAACGAAGCTTCGGCCATGGATACCGTGTCTGAACACAAAACGGCCCACGAAATGACCGCAACACCTCCTCAAAGAGGAATAGAGTATGGAACTATTTTCTTTGGCCTGCTGTTCAGGTGGCTTCACATAAGATAGCTGATATCTCAATTCTCATAGGCTACCGACGCGATATTCCGCGATACACATCGATCCAGCGGACCGAAACCGGCCGACGTCGCCCCAAGCTCGACCACTGTCTGTAGAATACCCATCTGCTAATCAAGTACAAGTCATCTCAACAGAGCCTGTAGACCGTGGCTGCAGGGCGTGGTCCGTCGTGGTGGGGTCGACGGCAACCATGATCCCGACCTTCGGGTTGATGACGACTGTTGGCATTTTTCAAGTCTATTTGAAGGAAAACCAGCTTGCAGACTGGTCTAATACGGATATATCGTGGATTATATCCGTCTTTGGCTTTCTTGCAGTCCTTCTGTGCGGCCCCTTTGGCGCAGTATTTGACAAGTTCGGCCCTCGATGGCTGATGACGCCTGCTGCCACGGTGTACTGCGCATCGTTTCTCGGCATTGCTTTCAGCAGTCGGTATTGGCAGTTCTTCCTCTGCTTCTCCACTGCCGGAGTAGGTGCGGGTACGTTGCTATTCATTCCAGGGCGTAATCAAATGTACCTAACCTTACGGACGCAGCGGCATTGACCACGAGCGCTCTAGCAGTGATCAATCATTGGTTCGACGAAAAGAAAGGGTTGGCAATGGGCATCTGTACCATGGGCGGCGGACTTGGTGGCGTGATATTCTCAGTCGTACTTCGATTTACCACCAAACACCTTGACTGGACTACGGCCAGTCTGGCTCATCTTGCAATAATTGGCGCGTTTCTGTCCCTCGGGTGCGTCTTGATCAAGCCCAAGATACGCAAGCCTCCTCAGGGCAAGCTGTGGGACTTCTCCTGTTTCCGACGCTGGGAATTTGTGCTCTTTACCTTGAGCGTGTGTGGTATGATCTTCTCACCCCGGCTTCATCAGTAATGGCTGCCCTAATGCAGGCCAATAACAGGTTTTGAGCTGGTTCTATTTGTGGCCTGGGGTCTGCTTCCGACGTACGCCAGCACAGTCAAACTTGGCGACGTCTTTTATCTGACCCTTGTATTCAGCGTGTGAGTCTAGCCCTCTCTAGCTCTGGCGATTTGGGGCTTCGAGTGCTGATCACGACTCTTCAGGGGTTCTTCTCTGGGAAGGATAATTCCCGGATATTTCACCGATAGGATCGGTCCTTTCAACGTTACCATTGTGATGACAATACTCACAGAGGCGACGATGCTTGTACTATGGCTCCCCTTTGGCGATACCTCTGCATCTGCATTATACGCTGTTGCTTTCCTCCTGGGATTTGGCACCGGCAGTTTCGTCTCAACGGCGGCGACGTGTCTTGGCAGACTCTGCAACGCTGAAGACAGCGGTACCTACATAGGCTGCTGCTATGCCGTCGTGAGTCTGGCGACACTGGTCGGAAATCCTGCGGGACAAGCTGTGTTGGGTGATGGACAAAATGGCCGCACCCGTTGGACCGTGGCTTTCCTCGGACTCATTCTGATGGTGGCCCTGACCAGCTGCTGCTTCGTGCGGTGGTTGTGTATGAACAGGGCATGGAAGTGGTCGGTAAAAGTGTGAGTCGAAACGGAACGACACCAGCCGTTGGACGAGGGAACAGTCGTTCTTTCTTATTTCCCATTCGACTTAACAGGGATCCAACCCACGCTGACGATGGTGGGCTGCCGGTATGACCAGATCCTTGGCTACCCCGTTTGCCACACCGGTGAGGCACTGAACCAACATGGTTGGTTGATGACAGCGTCACACCTAGTTATCTGATTTTCCTCACAGCGCATCCTGCAGCCGACATTGAGGGCAGGCAACAGCATAGAGCTAGCGATGATGCTGCAGGATGAAGCGCCCATGAATCGTACGACAATGCCGGCGGCATCTCATACACCGCAAGTCGGCATACATCGCGCTCTTTGTTTTCAGCTCTCGGTACCACGACAGCCCAAGCTTCCTCTAGCCCGAGCCGAGCCGTACCAGACACCCCCTTTGACCCCTTTCCGATCCCGTGCTTACGGGCATTTGTGGCTGCGACACGTTCGACAGTCTTCGCCCAGATACCATCAGGCCACTCGACCACTTCAGAAACATCATCTTCGTGAGCCAGAATAGAAGACAATACATGTCCTCCTGTGGAGTCGCAGATCGTTGACCTGCGGATCTGTGTTATGCGAGTTGTCACACGCGCGTATCTGAGATCCTACGGGGGACTCATCCGGGTCGCCCGCCAGGCCTGAGAGGACTGAAGCGGCCGGGGGTAACCAACGGGGTCGAGCGGTCCAAGCCCGGGTTTAAGAGTCGATGGTCCAGTTTTTCCTTGTTTTGCCAACCAACTCGCCGTTGGTCTCGCAAGAACGTTGATAATATGATTATGCGGTTGGTGGCGGGGGCTCCGCTTGACAAGGAATGGGTCACTTGTCGAGTGGAACAAGTGGATTTCTTTTAGTATGGGGGACGCTTCCTGCATGTTGTACATACATATTACGGTTCAGTTACTCGCTTTCGGACTGGTAGCTGCACAACAAGGAGACATGTCCGGGGATGGCCTGACAATAACGATTGGTGAAACGGAGACTTGAGCTAAGAAGGTAAACTAACGTTCTAGCCATGAAGAAAGCTGCTTCCAGGCGTGCTACCAGGCTGATAACGGCCCAGGGCCTGGCCGAAACCTTCGTCATGAACCGCCACTCGGATGATCATTCCCCAGGTGACAGACCAGGGAGGGAAAAGGGCAGGAAGGATCGATCTAAAAGGGCAAGAATGTCCAGGGGTGACAGACTAGCGATTGAACCCAGTCGCCAGCTCGCGGGATTTTCCGTCACTAACTTGACCCATCCCAGACCTGGAGCTGGTGAAGGGATTCGACGATATTCTGTCTCGTGTTTCCCGTTCAGGCCATTTAACCCCCGAAAAGCAACCAAGTCGTAACCGCGCCTATGCCTGTTCAGGCGCTAACTTCGAGCATATTGCATTGTCACGTACATGACATGACATGGCACGACATGATGGGCTGTAGGGGAGATGGCCGTGTGCTGCCGACATGTTCAGTATTCGGGTTCATATATTGCGTACGTTGCGCTCATTGCAGACAGACTCTCCGCGGGAGACGCTGGT